AATGTTGTAAGCCGCCTTGATCAGTTCTCTGGAAAGGCGGGGTATAAAAAAAACTTTTATTATTATTATTATTATTATAATGAATCTTGGAGATGTGTCATCCATCTACAGGGTCACCATGGGTCGAGATCAACTGAAGTGTGGATAACAGCAACAACAACATATGAGATATCTTGGAGATGGGACCCAAGCATAAATACAAAATTCATACATATTTCATATACACTTGTTACACATGGAGGCCTTAAGGTAATGTTATGTGCCATATTTTAAATAATTTTGTGCATGAAACAAAGTTTGTATACACTGAACCATCAGAAAGGTTGTCACTATATCTGCCACCCATGTGAAAAAATTTGAGATTGGGGTTATTTTGGATTTCAGAATTCTGGATAAGAGACATTCAACCCATACATGTAACAGTACAGTCGCCCCTCTGTTCTCATGAACTTGAGATCTGCTCCCTCGCTTATGCGCGAGGGGCAAACGGAGGGGAATAAAATGGGGCGCGTGCCTGTGGGGCGTACCTCCATTCAAGCTAATGGAGCTTGAATACACACGATTTTCCATTTTTGCAGAGGGGTCTGGAACAGATCCCCCACGAGAATGGAGGCAGGACCGTAGTTGAAATCCAATCGCCTCTATTACGTAGACAAAACAACTGATCTACACATGCTTCAGAAACCACAACTCTAAAGTTCAGACCAGAAAACTAAAACAATCAAAAGCTAGGCAATTTAATTAAAAAGATTTAATTAAATTTAAAATTAAAAGATTTAATTAAATCTTTAATTAAAAAGATTTGTTTATTTTCTGATTCCTTGTGTTATTGTGGATTGTTTTATTTTATTGCTGTATTTTTTAACTTCTTTCTAGCTTAATTCTGTTTTAAGGGGATGGGAGAGTTGGATTATGGGACGAGGGAATGTTTTAACTTGTTTGTTTTAAAATGTTGTACCCCGCCCCGATTGCCGCGCAGAGGGGCAGGCTATAAATAAAAAAATATTATTATTGTTGTTGTTATTGTTATTGTTATTAAAAACATCATGGCTGATCTGATCAGGTAGCACTTCAGATCAGGTGAAGAAGGTAGACAAAACTCCTGAATGTAATATTCAAATATTACTATTCTCTTAGCCACTCCAATTATTGGAGTCTTTTCCAACTCTAGGATTTTGAGGTCCAAAACACACTTTAGAAATAATCCAGTTTGGGACCACTTAAACTGCCCTGGCAATTCTTTGCCAATTCTTACTGACAGAAAAATGTTACCTTTATTTAATGCATAAGGGATTTTTAAAGCTGTTTTAATATGTAGACATTTT